GAGCAGGGAGCCTGATGCGGGGCTCGACCCAGGACGCTGGGATCACGACCTGAGCCGAACGCAGACGCTCAATGACTGAGCCACCCAGGCGCCCCTTTTTTTTTTTTTTTTTAGATTTATTTATCTATTTGAAAGAGAGAGAAAATACAAGTGGGGGCAGGGGCAGAGGGAGAGAGAGAAACAGGCTCCCGACTGAATGGGGATCTCACGACCCTGAGATCATGACCTGAGCTGAAATCAAGTGTCGGACACAACCAGCTAAGCCACCCAGGCTCCCCAAGCATGCAACTCTTAATCTCAGGGTCATGAGTTTAAGCCCCAGGTTGGGGAACGTGGAGCCTACTTAAAATTTAAAAAAAAAAAAAAGAAGAAGAAAAAAAAGAAAGGAAACAAAGTACGTCCCCATAGTTGTCTCCCACAGTGTATAGGTACCAGAATTTTTCTGTGTGACGCTGTCTTCTGGAGACACAACTTGGACTCTTATTATGAATGTGTTCCCAGTGCCTCCATTTGGGACCATCACCTGTCCTTCAGTGTTTTCAGGCTCTAACTGTTCCTCTTCCGCCGTGGAGGAACCTTCTGCCTTCCCTTTCCCCAGCTGATTGGGACTGCTGGTGTCCTGGGGCCCTGGCCAGGTCTCATGCCACCCATCCCACACGTTTCTTTCGGATTGAGCAAGGTCAGAATTCAGTGAGGACCTTCTACTCTCAGGATCTTTTCTGGTCTGCCCTGAGCTGTTCACTGAGGGCGCTGGCATTCTTTTTTCTTTCTACAGAGTAATATAGGTATATTATAAAAATTGAGAGACTATAAATAAGCAAAAGAAGAAAGAAATCATCCATAATGTCACCACTGTTAATTTAATATATATCCCTGTAGTTCTTTTGTCTTTCTCTCTTTGCTTGTTGCTGTTTTAAATAAATAGGCTCGGGCACCTGGTGACTCAGTCGGTTAAGCGTCTGCCTTCGGCTCAGGTCATGATCCCAGAGTCCCAGGATTAAGTCCCACATCGGGTTCCCTGCTTCTCCCTCTGACCCACCCTCTCTCGCACGCTCTCTGTCTCTCTCGCTCTCTCTCAAATAAATCTAAAAAAATAATAAATAAATAGGCTCATTCTACACCAAACTGTTTGATACCTTGCTTCCTTCACTTAGCAATATATCATAAATGCCTTTTCATGTCAAAAACATACTCTCCTATACCATCCTTACTGTAATTTTTAATATTTGCATATTATTTCCTGGTATAGATATGCCATGATTTATTTAAGCTATAATTAACATTTAGGTTATTCTCTGATTCTGTACTATTTACACCTTAATGCTGTAATGGCCATCCTCTGGGCACCTCCATGATTGTTATCCTCCTTAAGACAGGATAGGGTGGGGAAGTACAGCTGGGATCTGACTCTAGATCTGTCTGATCTGAAAGCCACATTCATAATCACTTTTCCCTTCTGTATGAGAGGAAGATAAAAGCTTCTCTTTTATATTCAGTTTCCTTCAAGTTGTTGCAAATTAGCAGGTCTTCTGACCTTGTCCTCTGCTCTACTTCTCCCTAGTTCTTCCAGAAGGCAGCACTGAATGTCAGAGACAATGTCGGGGAAGAGGTGGACGCGGAGCAGCTGATCCAGGAGGCCTGTCGGAGCTGCCTGGAGCAGGTGAGACCCAAGCAGCCAAGAGACGCACAGACGTAGGCCCAGGCTTAGTCCTCAGGGCTTTACTGAGAAGTGTGATCACTTCATTCGTGGTCCTTGGGGGGATGCCTGACAATCCACTAGCCTCCAGAGAGGGCCTGGAGCTGTTGCTGACAGAAGGGAAGTGGCTTTTCTGTACCCTGTACTGGGATTGATGCTTTCACATGCATTAGCTCATTGACACCCCAGAAGGCATATTCTAATCCCTAGTTTCCAGATGAAGAAACTACGGCTCAGAACAAGCAAGAATTAGAACAGCTGAGGACTCTCTCTGCAAGTGGTGACTTCACTCTTCAAGTCACAGCCCCTTTTGGTACCGTGGGGCCTATCTGCCTTCCTGCCTCAAGGGGTGTGCTCAGCAGAAATGACATCAAGTCTAAAAATGTCTGTGTTCCCAAAATAGAAGTGAACCTGTTTATGTGTGTCAGCTGTTCTTATTAATAGGAATTGTCAGCATCACCCAGATTCTGTGCTTAACTGTGAAACCACTAGCTGTGAGAGATGGAAATTTCTTCATACTCAGAGCCACAGAGGCTGGTTTGAACTTAGTCCTAGGAGGGTGATTCTCAGGAGATGAGAGAGTAATGTCTTCTGGGAGGTGGGCTGGCCAGCTGCCCAGGCACAGCCTCAGAAAAGAGCAAGACCAGGGCCTGAGCCTCAGCTTTGGAGAGGGCAGAACTCCATCCATTAGTGCAGTGAAAGCTGATCTGCTTCCCATGGTCTTAATTTAAGCCAACCAAACTCCTAAGAGGCCAGTTCATTACTTCACTCTGCAACTGGAGTATGTTATAATCAGTTGTAACATCTGTTGATAATAAAACATGGCAGTTTGCTAATGTTCTTACAAGTTTGAACGGAATCAAGATTAAACTGGTAAACCTTCGGTCTCAGTTGCATCCCAGAATGCTTTCTTGAGTTTATTTACCTCTCCAGCTAATATATATTGTGCGCCATTCTGTGCCAGGCCCCAGCTGCACTGTGCAAAATGGACACAGTCCTTACCCCCAGATCCCTGACATTACTCCAGTAATCATTCAATAGATCTGGAATTACGAACTGTTCTAAAAGTGCTATGAGCATAGGAGGCAATGAAGAGAGTACACTAGAAGGTACAGAGCCCAGAGGCAAAAGGGAGCGGAGTACATCCAAGGGACAGAAAGAAGCCAGAGTTGCTGGTTTTCAGAGGGTGGAGAGAATGATACTTGGTGAGGTTGGAAAGGTAAGCAGAGGCCAAATCAAGCCAAATTACAGGTGTGGAGTTTTAAGCAGAAGAGTTGCCTACTGAGATTTGCATTTTGAGAGATCGCTCTGGCTGCTATAAGGAGATTGGTTTGGGAATCTGGCCTGGAGATTGGAAGGGAAATGCATGAAACTCTTCAGGAGTGCCCGGGAAAGATGAGATGAAAGTGAACGGGGCATGATCTGTACTCCATGGATGGGTACACCTTTCCAGTCTCCTGAGTCCCCATGTCCACCTCGTGGAGTCCCTTTGCCGGTATCAGTGTGACTGGGAAGCTGGAATATGGAACAGATGGTGTATGATCAGAGCACAGGAATCGAGCACAGGAAGGTAGAAAGCCCAAAGTTCAGCTGGAAACCAGATGAATCAAGAAACTTCAAACAAGTCTTTGGACCTTTCTGTTCCTCAGTTTCCTTATCCCTAAAATTGGGAGCAAGAATCCACCACCAGTGGTTTGCTATGAGGATTAAATGAGAAAATTTATGCACACTACCAGGACCACGTGGGTGCATACAACACAGAACATTCTAGATATCAAGTACATGGGAGTTCTATTCATGATTATAGTACCCAGCTGCCTCACAACAGAGCCTGGCTTTCGGGTAGCCCAGGATACTTGAAGTTCTTTGGGGTCCCCTTGTCTGAACTGCACACAGAACTTCTTGTTGTGTGAAAAGATTCTTCACATTGGCTATGAGACAATTCGAGAAGGGTTTTTAGTTTGTTTGGGTTAAGACTTGATTTGTTTGCACTTCTGACACCACATTGACCATCTCAGTCGTGCTTCCTAATCTCCTTAGCTACCCCTTTCTGGTGATTTCCTAGGGAGAAATGGCTGACCTTATCTATAGCCCATTGCCTTGCATTTTTTGTTTGCTTGATTTTGTTTGCATGGCAGTTGTTTTTGTTTGTTCATTTTATTTATGTGAGTGATACATATCCGTTAAGAAAAATTTGGCATGGTAGTTAAGAATGCAGGCTTTCTCTTGATTTGCACTGTCCAGATATGAGTCCTGGCTTTACCACTGACTAGCTGTGTGACTTGAGGCAAGTTACCTCACCTTACTAAATCTCAGTTTTCTCATCTGCAAAATGGGTGTAGAGGTGCTGCATCATAGGATTGTTGTGAGGATTAAATGTGCTAATACTCTTAAGGCTTTTAGATCAGTAACAAGGACTCAGTAAATGTTACCTACTGTGGGTTTGTATTAAAATTAGACTATAAATTATAAGGAAGAAAATTAAAATTTCTCATAGTCTCACTGCCAGCAATAAGTTCTATTAACATTTTGATGCCTTTTCTTCATTTCCCTATGTATGTTTTTGCACATGTGCGTTCTTTCACTGGAGCACTGGGAATGCAATGAAGAGCAAAAACAGACCACCCTGGAACCCATGGTCCCCTTCGGCGGCCACACTATTTCTCTGTTCCCTTTTATAGCTCGACTTTGGGAAAGGGGGCTGTCGCTGGCTCCACTTTGTAACCTCCTGTTCATTCTTTTGCTCACTTTATTCAGTCCCCACCATTTCCCTGAAACCTCTCTTATATCAGGGTCCTCAGTAACCTCCATGTTATCAAATCCTGTGGACCCTAACTGTCCTCAGTTTACCCAGCTTCTTGGTGGCATTTATCACAGGGTCATTTCATGTTTCTTGGAACACTCCTTTCTCGGTTCCAGTGCTTTGACTTGCATCCACTCCTCTTCAGCCTCCTGGACCAGCTTGCCTTCTCTTCTGTGGTTCACTCTCATACGAGCTGATTCCCTCCAGTCCTGTGGCTTTGAAAACAATTTAACTGCTGTTGATTCCCAGATGTGTATCTCAGCCCTGAGCTGCTTCACTCTTGCCTTCTTTCGATCCATTCTCACAGCAGCCAGACCCATCTTTTTAAAGATGAACCAGATTGTGTCACTCTCCTCTTTAAAACCCAGGGACTCCCCACTGCAGGCAGAATAAAACCCTGATGCCTTAACGTGACCCACAGAGCCCTACCTGGACTGGCTCCTGCCTGTTTCTTTAACTTCATCTCATCCCACCACCCCCTCACTGGCTATCTTCTAGCTGTACTGGAATCCTTTCTGCTTCTCCAGTACACCAAGCTCAGCGTCCTTGCACTTGCTGTTCTCGCTGCCCAGCATGCTGTATCCTTAACTCTTTATATAGCTGCCTCCTTTTCTTCAGATTCAGCTCAAATATTGCCTCATCAGAGAGGCCTTCCCTGGCCACTCCATCTAAAGTAGTCCTCCTAGGGAAACCTGGGTGGCTCATCGGTTAAGCATCTGCCTTTGGTTCAGGTCATGATCTCAGAGTCCTGAGATGGAGCCTGCTCAGCGGGGAGTCTGCTTCTCCCTCTCCCTTTGCCCCTTCCCTCCCCCCTCCATGCTCTCGCTCTCTCTCGCTCTATCTCTCAAATAAATAAAATCTTTTTTAAAATAAAGTAGGGACACCTGGGTGGCTCAGTTGGTTAAGTGTCTGCTCAGGTCATGATTATTTCAGCTTATTTCAGCTCAGGTCATGATCCCGGGGTCCTGGGATTCAGCCCCACATCAGTCTCCCTTCTCGGCACGGAGCCTGCTGCTCCCCCTGCTTGTGTGCTCCCTCTCTCTCTCTCTCTCTGACAAATAAATAAAATCTTTTTAAAAATAAAGTAGCCCAGGGGCGCCTGGGTGGCTCAGTCGTTAAGCGTCTGCCTTCGGCTCAGGTCATGATCGCAGAGTCCTGGGATCGAGCCCCGCATCCGACTCCCTGCTTGGCGGGAAGCCTCCTTCTCCTTCTCCCACTCTCCCTGCTTGTGTTCCCTCTCTCACTGTGTCTTTCTCTGTCAAATAAATAAATAAAATCTTTAAAAAAAAAAAAAAATAGTCACCAGTCTGACCAGTTGCCAGAGTGCTGTGCTTTGAGAAAGGAAGGGGTAGGAAGTGTGCTAAACCTCTGGGATTTGGGTCCCATCCCCTGGCCTCCTGGGCTCAGCTCCGCTTGCTGTGAAGAGGTTGGCAAGCCCTCTGCATTCACCAGGCTGGGATGAGGTCTTGGTGAGAGATGCTCAGGGGCTGAGAGATGCTCTGAAACCAAATGAGAAAAGTTCCTCCCACTAGGCTAACGTCTGTGACTTCATCCCTTCCAGTATGCAGCTGACCCCCAGGACAAGCACTGGCTGGCTGAGCAGCATCACATGCGGGCAACAGGGGGGAAGATGGTAAGCACTGTTCACACATGCCCAGCCAGAGACCCACCCAGCCCAGGGGCCAAGGGTCCGGCTATTGGTGGCACTTCCCTCCATATCTGAGACTCTCAAAGGCTGATGAATGTGGAAAGGGAGACTTGCCAGGGTAGAGGGGGCCCATTCCTTCCCACTGAAGACCAGACTTAATCCCTGGATTCCCTTCCCACACACCACTCCCTCACTCCCTCCTTCACCATCCTTATTCAGATTATATTAGCTGTGCATAAGAATGGCAGGTGCACGGCACACGTAACACTACTTTTGCCTCATGTGCCCATTGACAGATAGCTCTCACGGATCACCACCTCTTCCACCAGACACAGCTGTAGGATCTCCCCAACACAGTGCTCCAGGCAGCACCTCCTGTCAGTAGGAGTTAGCACATGCAGTGAAACCTGTTTGCCACGCCTAGCAGCCCCTTCTGGAATCACCTCTGCTTAAAGAGTTCTTAGCTCATCAAGCAACGACCTTGGGAAAACCATCGTTGCATGTGTTCTGAAACTAGCAGGGCTTTGTCCATCACCTGCGGACTCAGTCCCACCGCGGGGACTGCTCCTGTGAGAATTCAGTGGCCTTGCAAACCAGTATACCGTCTCTTCTGGCAAGGAAACTGTCTTCTGTTTTACTACTCTACTTATTCCTACACCCTGTTTAAGAAGATTTGAGGGAACTTACCACATACATAAAATGCAACATAACGTAAATAAGAAATAGATGGGAAGAGGAAAGACAGGATCTAACATTAAGCCATGAACAAGACTAGCTTTGAAAGGAGTGTTTTTTTTAATAGCTGACCTGGGAAACTAGCACACTTCCATGGGTTTTTGCAAATTCATTGCTAGGCCCTTCTCAGGGACATCTCATTGGTTACATAGTTCACAGTGCTCATAAGATGACAGATTACTCAGGGGACACACACAGATTACTCCTGACCCTAAGACTAGAAAGAACTGTCTCCCCCAGAAGACTTTCCCATGTGATGAATGACATCCCCTGTGTGGTAAGCACACGAGAGGGCTCTCTCCCCCTGCAGACCATGGCATTGTGTCATAGCCGAGCTGCAGGCCCCTGGTAGGGCACAGCAGTGCAGCTTCTCACGTTTGCCCTTCTGCCACAAAGTTCAAACCCAGATCATCTCAGTTCCTAGAGTTAACATTACAGCTTCCTCCTCCTGATTCCGTTTCCATGTGGGTTTTGCTAGCTCTCTTGCGATTTCATTTTAAGCACCCAGAGTCCTTTTTTAAAAGAGGAGGAGGCTGTAAGTCACCCATCTCCACTCCCTAACCCATAAAGTTTCTATTTGAGTGAAAGGTTGTCTCATGGAGCTATTTTCCGGTCTCTCCCTACTCACTCTCCTAAACTGTAAATTATGCCCCTCTCCCTTCCAGCCCTTACATTAAGTACATGTTTAATAGTATTGTTGAGTTGAAATGAATCAGAGGCAGTGATCACTCTCCTTTGCTCCTGCCCCAGGCCTACCTCCTCATCGAGGAGGACATCCGGGACCTCGCAGCCAGTGATGACTACAGGTAAAACCAGTCATCTGTCCCCTGCCCCCCCCACACACACACTGGCCCCTTGGGGTGAACCTGGGCCTGCACCCTCCTTGCTTCAACTCTCCTCCTCAATGTCTGTTCCAGAGGATGTCTGGACCTGAAGTTGGAGGAACTGAAATCCTTTGTGCTACCCTCCTGGATGGTCGAGAAGATGCGAAAGTACATGGAGACACTACGGACAGAGAACGAGCATCGTGCTGTTGAAGCACTTCCACAGACCTGACCAAAGCCAAGTCCCCTGGCTACACTTGGCAGCCCTCTTCCAAGGCCCTGTCACCCACTGAGGCCACTGCTGGGACTGCTTCTGGATGGATCTCAGCGGCATTAAGCTGTGCCTGGGCTAGTCTGTAGTGACTCACTACAGAGCACCCCCAGACTGGCACGTGGTTCTATATTTGTAAAGTTATCGGGTTAAAAAGCAATTAAACAGTTTGTAATAAACACAGTGAGCTAGCTGTGCGGTCTGTTGTAGGGGCTGACAAAATACCAAAGGATCTAGACGTGGGTGTAGGAAAGAAGGACCGGGTACCCCTCCCCCATCGCAGGTCGGACCCAGTAAGGTCCCACTGCCCCGTGCATATCTGCTTTACGAGACAAAGCTGGGAACACCGTGTACCCTGCGAACCTTCCCTGTTTCTTACTTCTTCATCCCCTAAGGTACAGAAGTGGCAGGACGTGTTGGCCGGCACCATGGGGGTTGACGACAGACCAGAAGAAAAGTGCGGAGAGCCTTTTATTACCCCCGTCTTACAGGTGAAAAGACTAAATGCCGTGTCCGAGGTCACACAGCAAACCGTTGGAGAGGCAGCTGTAGGAGCCTGTTTCCAACAGTCTCCTGCTCTGGCCATCATACCCCTCCCATGAAGTCCCTCCAGAGGTGTCCGGGACATTAAAATATGTGGAGGAGCAGGGGTTTCCGGGTTCAGGGAAGGGTACCGATGTCGCCAGACCGGAGACGTTCCCTTCCCCTGGGAGTAGGGATCCGGCTGCTCGCTCTGGTAGCCAGGCCTGGGACCTGAAAGGGTTCATCCCACGTGGACTTTTTCTCGGCCCTTTAATGGTCGGCGTTTTCCAAAGGCCACCAATCCGCTGCAGATTCGTTAGTTAATGACAGTCTCTTCTGCCAATCGCCCTTCAGAAGTACGTTTCCGCCGCCCAATACTGGTGCGCTGGGGGGTGGGTCTAGCAGTTGCGCGGTGACACAGTGCTCTGGCGCGTCCCATTGGCTGGATCAAACCCAAGCGAGCCGCTGATTGGCCGGTGCCGCCGGAGGGTTACAATTCAAACGCGGGCGGGCGGGCCGCCGGCCCTGCAGTTGCAGTAGTGCTCTCGGAGTTCCTGTCTCCCTCCCAGCGCCGCCCGGGATGGCCTCCCAGAACCGCGACCCAGCTGCCGCCAGCGTCGCCGCCGCCCGCAAAGGAGCCGAGCCCAGCGGGGGCGCCGCCCGGGGCCCCGTGGGCAAGAGGTGAGGAGTGTGGAGTAACATTGGCCGGGCCCGGCACGCCCTGGGCCTTGGGGTCCAGAGCTCGGACTTCCGGGCCCCCACCTCCTCCTGGAGTGGGTAAATGTGCGGGAGCGGGAGGGCACGCCGGGAGCTCGGGCTGCCCTTAGAGGGCCCCCCCGAAGGAGGACAGAAGGGGGAGGCACGCCGCCATGATCCTCCGCGGGTGAGCCAAGATGAAAGTGTGCCTGGGACCCTCGGTGGCTCGGCGAGATAGGGAGGGGGAGTGGGGACGGAAGCGAGGAGAAACTGGGATCCGGCACAGGGAGGGAGACGTCTGAGAAGCCGAGGGGCTTAAGCACAAGGCAGAACCGTCCTGCCAGAGCCTGGAATTAGGAAGGGTGAGGACTCACTGGGACTCTCCGGTGGAAATGGGAGTGAGTGTGTCCCAGCTGAGTCTGGCCTCAGGGTAGGGGAAGCCTCCATGACAGCTCCCCCAGGGACTCTGGGGTGAGGGCAGAAGCACGGTGTGGAGCCCTGGCCCATCCAGACTCCCGGGTGACTCCCAACGCTTATGTTGCAGGCTACAGCAGGAGCTGATGACCCTCATGGTGAGTGACTACCTGCCCAGACCCCCAGGCCAATTGATCCACCCTCCACCTCCCCACTCACTTATCTGTAGCCTCCTTTCCTACATCAGGCTCTTTGCTAGAAACAGCACGGGATAAAAAGATGAGTCAGCTTTCCTCTCTTCTGGGAAGAAGCTAATAGACCCCACCTACACCTTTCTTTCCAGCAGTGTCTACTCCAGATCCCTC